GGGGCCGCGGGGGGGTGGCCGCTGTCGGGGGAGGGGGCACTGTCCGGGGGGTGTCAGTGTCGGGGGGCAGGGTAACTGTCCGGGGGGGGGGCAGGTTGGGGAGGGGGACTGTCCGGGGGGGGGGGAGGGTCGGGGGGGGGGGGGGTCCGGGGGGGGGGTTCAGTGTCCGGGGCGGCGAGTGGTGGGTTTTGTGTTGAGAAGGTGAGGAAGAGGAGAGATTTGGTTGAGGTCTTTTCAAACTTCTTTGAACCAAAACATTTACTGAAGGGTCAAGAGCCAGGTGATTGGCAATGAGGGGTCAGCAGTGTATATAGATATCAGTGAATTTTTATTTTAAATCCATGAGTGGTTAGAGTTTGGGCTGTTTGGATATTGAATAGAGCTTCAGCAGTCACTTTGAGGAACTAGACAATTATAGTGGTGTGGCAAAAGGTAGGGAAATGGGACTCCTGGATGGAACAGATTCAGGATTGATGGCCTGAATGGCCTTTCAGCAGTGGATCTCAATTTGGATAAGTGTGAGGTGATACATTTGAGCAGGTCCAACAAGGTAAGAGAATACATGATGAACAGTAGGATCCTGTGAAGCACTGCAGATTAGTGGGACCTTTGTGTGTGGAAATACATCACTCCCTTAATGTAGAGGGACAGGTAAATTAGTTCAGTAGGCATATGGGATACTTGGCTTTTTTTGTTGCTGAAGCACAGAGTTTAAAAGTGGGGAGATAATGCTGGAACTGTATAAAATGTTGGTTAGGCCACAGAGTATTGTGTACAGCCCTGAATACACATTAATTGATGTGATATACAGAATGCAGAGGAAGTTTACTAGGGTGTTGCCTGGGAATTTTAGTTATGAAAAGAGGTTGGATAGACTGGGGTTATTTTCCTAGGAGCAGAGGATGACTGAGGTGGAAACGTGATTGAGATTGAAGGATGTAGATGGGGTAGGTACGAAAGAACTTTTTCCACTTAGTAGAGGGATCAATGACTAGATAGGCTGCAGTGGGCCATTTGGCCCATTGAGTCCACACTGACCCTCTGAAGAGAATCCCACCCAGGCCCACCCCCCTACCCTATCCCTGTAACCCAATATTCCCCATCCCTGTAACCCAATATTCCCCATGGCTAATCTACCTTGCCTGCACATTCCTGGATACTGTGAACAATTTAGCATGGCCAATCCATCTAACCTACACACGGAAACCGGAGCACCTTGAAAAAACCCACCCAGACATGGAGAGAATGTGCAAACTCTATACACAGTTGCCTGAGACTGGAGTCGAACCTGGGTCACTGGCACTGTGAGGCAGCAGTGCTAAGCACTGAGCCACTGTGCTGCCCGTTAAGCTAAGGGGCAGGTGGTTTAGAGGGTATATGAGGATTTTTTTATCCAGGGGGGTGGTGGGAGTCTGGAACTCACTGCCTGTAAGGGTGGTAGAAGCAGAAACTGTTCTCACATTGAAGAAGTATTTTGATGAACATAAGGCATAATGTCTGTTGGCCAAGTGCTGGAAAGTAGGATTAGAATTATTTGATGCATGTTTTTGACTGCAGATTTGATGGACCAAAGGTTCTTAGTCTTCGCTGTAGATCCCCATGACTCTGTGGCGGTATGACAGTGCTCATCAGTTATTTTATGACACTATTGACCAACCTTACTGAAACAAATTAACATTTTTTGGTTGTTTTGTGGAGCTTGGTGTGTGCAGATGAAAAACTGCATTTAAAGTCTTTATTAACGAAAACGGAAATTGCTGATAAAACCCAATAAAAACCAAAAGAACTGCGGATGCTGTAAATCAGAAACAAAAACAGAAATTGCTGGAAAAGCTCAGCCGGTCTGGCAACGCCTGTGGAGGGAAATCAGTTAAAATTTAGAGTCCAGTGACTCCTCTTCATGCTAATAGCGTCTCGAAAAAAATGGTGTTTATCTTGATTATGGTTTAGAAGGGAGATGGAGGTCAGAGAGAGGAAAAAGTTAAGCAGAGATATTTGATAATGGGAAGCAGAAGAAGAAAAGCTAGCTTGGTGATACTGGGAGCTATGAGTGGGTGAGAATGGGTTGGCTGTGCTGAAAGCAACCCATGTCATGACAGGTCATGGGGTGTGGGGGTGGGTAAAAGAAGGAGGTGTAGCAGGCTCTCCAATCATTGAATTCTGTATTGATTCCTGAAGGCTGCACTGTCCCCAAATGGAAAATGTGATGCTGTTTCTGCAGCTTGTGCTGAGCCTTACTGGAGCACTGCAGCAGGCCAGAGGAAGAAATGTTGGCCAGGGAACACAATGGTGTGTTGAAGTGGCAGGCAACTGCAAACTCTGGGTCAGCTAGCAGATGTCTCAGGCCTTGTATAGTAAGGAGGGAGGAGGTAAATGGGCATGTGTTGCATCTTCTGCAGTTTGCATGGGAAGATGCTATGGGGATGTGGGGAGGTGTTGGGAGGAGGAGCGGACCAGAGAACAGTCTCTGGAGGAACAGTCCCTGCGGAATGCTGACGAGGGAGGGATGGAGAATATGACTGGTGGTAGCATCCTCCTGGAATTAGCAGCTTATGATCCTTTGGATGCAGAGCCTGGTGGGTTGGAATGTGAGGACCAAGGGCGGCTTGTTGTGGGAGGGAAGAGAAGGGGTGAGGATAGAAGTGGGGTTATGGACAAAGTCTTCCATCGTTTAACTTTTTAGGATACCTGAGGATCTGAACTATCAACTGTTTTCATCTCTGTTTGAGTTTTGAGTCAGTAGTTTTTTTTCCTGAGGAAGGGTCACTCGACCTGAAACATAAACTCTGATTTCTGTCCACAGATGCTGCAAGACCTACTGAGTTTTTCCAGCAATTTCTATTTTTGTCCCAGTATTTGTTTGGTTTGTGTTAGATACAGAGTGTTTTAAACTGAAAGTAAAGTTCACTGTACGCTAGCCCCATCAACGACTGCCAGGGCAAGGACAGCTCAAGATTATATACAAAGAAAGAGATGTTTGTATCATAGATGATTGCCATGGGTGAGGTGTGGGAAGTCTGCAGGTTAGTTACTGTGGTGCCATTATTTAATAAAGATGGTAAGGGAAAGCCAGGGAACTATAGACCAGTGAGTCTGACGTCAGCGGGGGGGCAAGTTGTTGGAGGGGATTCTGAGGGATAGGATTTATGCATATTTGGAAAGGCAAGGACTGATAAGGGATCATGGCTTTGTGTGTGGGAGATCATGTCTCACTAACTTAATTGAGTTTTTTGGAGAAATGATGAAGGCAGAATGGTGGACGTGATCAATATGGACTTCAGTAAGGCATTCAACAAGGTTCATCATGGTAGACTGGTTAACAAGGTTGGATCACATGGAATGCAGGGAGAGCTAGCCATTTGGATACATAACTGGATCAAAGATAGGAGACAGGGTGATGGTGGAGGGTTGCATTTCGGACTAGAGGCCTGTGACCAGTGGTATGCCGCAAGGATTGGTGATGGGTCCGCTGCTTTTTGTTATTTATATAAATTATTTAGATGTGAATATGGGAGGTATAGTTTGTAAGTTTACAGACCAAAATAGGTGGTGTAGTGGACAGCGACGATAACCTCAGAGTACAATGGAATCTTGATCAGATGGGCTAATGGGCTGAGGAACTATGTAGGACATTGGTTAGGCCATTTTTGGAATACTGTGTTCAATTCTGGTCTCCCTGCTACAGGAAAGATAGTGTGAAACTTGAAAGGATTCACAAATAACTTATAAGGATGTTACCAGGATTGCAGGTTTGAGCTATAGGGAGAGGCTAAATAGGTCAGGATTATTCTCCCTGGAGTGTCAGAGCCTGAGAAGGGGAAGATACAAAAGGGACCTGAGGGGCAACATTTTCACACAGAGGGTGGTGTGTGTACGGAATGAGCTGCCAAAGAAAGTGGTGGAGGCTGGTACAATTACAACATTTAAAAGGTGTCTGGATGGGTATATGAATAGGAAGGTTTTAGAGGGATATGGGCCAATGCTGGCAAATGGGACTAGATTAATTTAGAATATCTGGTTGGCGCAGACAAGTTGGTCCAAAGGGTCTGTTTCTGTGCTGTACAATGCTATGACTCTAACTTACACACTCTGCCTCAGTGTACCTCAATCCCAGTCTCAGAAGAGCAATAACTGTGTTTTATTCACACTGAGTTTTGATGCACCCAGAAGAGAGGTCCTTCTGAGTATTTTGGGAAATCGTATAGACCGGGTCTCCCTCGTTCCACTGACAAGATTCTGAGGAACGGGCATTTTTTGTGGAGAATGGACTCGAGGGACGTGTGTGCTGGAGCTGAGAGTCTGGAGAGTCCACCGGAGATTGAGAGCTGTGATTCAGTGATGGTGTGGAGCTTGGAAGAGGCTGTGCAGAAGCAAGTGCTGCAGATTGGATCGAGTGCATGTGGTGCAACCGCGGTTCTTAATGCCCTGCAGGCTCTGGGATTTGACGTTTGCTCTGAAGTTGTAGAGAAGTGTGTCCAGACAAGGATGCGGAAGAACAATGCTCCCCTAGCTGAATACTTAATATCACGAAGTGTTGCAGGTGAGAGTCTTTTCCCCAGTTTACATTTTCCATTTCTTCACCTCCCCTGCTTCCGCTTCTCCACTCCCTCCTTTCTTCCTCTTTTCTGTCCCCAACCCCACCCTTTCTCACTGAAGCTGTCTCTTTTGTTAGATCATATATTCACTGAATCCCACAAAGTCTCTGATTCCTGACGGTAACTGCCATTTGAGGAGGATCGCAGACAGCATCAGGGTTTCCTGTGCCTGGTGGTCAGCCACAGCGTTCAGGAAGGTTAGGTGTTAGTCAGTAAGTTGAGGACAGTAAGGTTATTAAACCAAAAAAGGAAAACTAATACTTAGGAGAAATGTTGAAATAGGAATGTTCTTTCAAATTAACTCATGGGACATGGGCACCGTTGGCTGGGCCAGCATTTATTGCCTGCCCCTAGCTGCTGTTTATAAGGTGATGGTCAGCTGCCTTCTTAAACTGCTGCAGTCCATGTGCTGTAGGTAGACCCACCGTTCCCTTGGGGAGGGAGTTCCAGGGTTTTGACCCAGTGACATGAAGGAGCAGTGATGTATTTCCAAGTCAGAATGGTGAGTGACTCGGAAGGGAGCTTGCAGGTGGTGGTGTTCCCATGAATCTGCTGTCCTTTCCTTTCCAGAATATCTCCCTAGAAATTTCAATTGAATCCAGCAAGAAGGAAGTAGATGATGATTTGAAACGTGTAAATTTTGTTGGAGTGTTGGCAAGGGTAAAATAATAGAACTGGCTGGATAGCTCTGCACAAGCACCATGATCTGAATGGCCTTTTTCAGTGCAATAAAACAGAATTGTTACAGTACAGAAGGAGACCATTCAGTCCAACATGTCTGTACTAGCTCTACAAACAAGCATCATGACATTGTGGCATTCTCTCACCCTTTCATCATACCCTTGCACATTCTTTCCTTGTTAATAATCATTAAGCACCCACTTAAATGCCTCAATTGAACCTGCCCTTCCACAATTCCAGACTGTACATTGCAGATCTAGAATCTTAGGATCCCTATAGTGTGGAAGCAGGCCATTTAGCCCATCAAGTACACACTGACCCAGACCTGGAATAAAGGAAAGTAAAACCAAAAGTTCCTACATCACATTTATTACTTTAGCAAATGAAATGCTTGTCTCCTTGTTCTTGTTCCTTCTATGAGCAGGAACAGGTTCTCCCCATCTGCTCTGTTCAGATTCTCATGATTTTGAAAACTATCAAGTCTCCTTATGTAGGTACTTAGGAAGGTCCTGGGGTCAGGTATAGGCCATTCAGTCCCTTGAGCGTCGTCTGTTATTTCATTAAATCATTGGTGATCAAAGACCGCCATGCCTTTTACTTACCTTTTCACTGTGCCCTGTCTGTGATTCTAATCAGAAATCTAACAATCTGTACCTTAAATGTACTCAAAGACTCGGCTTCCACAGCCCCCTGGGGTAGAGAATTCCAAAGATTCATCATCTCCATATTCTTTACAAGGAAAACAGTCCTAAATTCTTCAATTCATCCTCATAACTGCATTATCTCATCCCTAGAACCATTCTCGTAAACCTCTTCTGCAGCCTCTCCAACGTGTTCACCTTCTTTCTAAATGCCCAGAACTGTACACAATGCTCAGACTGATGTCTCACGAGTATTCTGTACAAGGTCATCATCACCTCCCTGCTCTTATCCTCTACACCTCCTATTAATGTAGCTCATGCTTTATTAACTGAATAACTCTATAATTCTACCAATATTTTAATGATCTGAACAGTGCTACAATGGATAAGTAACAAAATTGTTTTCACTGAATCATGAATTTAATTCTGATTACTAAAGGAGGCACCTATGTGGCAGTTTTAACTGATTCTACATTTAATCTCCTTGAATGTTCTGCTGAAGGGGAAACTAAATGTGTCTCATTTTTAAACTGGTAAGTCTCTCAAACACATTGTTGCAAAGTGATGCCACAGTCCATACAGTTTGTCAGAGATAGTAAGAAATGCAGATGCTGGAGTCAGAGATAACACAGTATGGAGCTGGGGGAGCACAGCAGGCCAGGCAGTATCAGAGGAGCAGGAAAGTTGGCGTTTCCTGTCGGGACCCTTCTTCAGAAATGGGGGTGGGATTTGAGTTTGACATTTGCTTTCATTTCTGAAGAAGGGTCCCGACAGGAAACGCCAACTTTCCTGCTCCTCTGATGCTGCCTGGCCTGCTGTGTTCCTCCAGCTTCACACTGTGTTATCCCTTACAATTTGTCATTCTTGTTTTATATTTTCTTATCCCTTCTGAATGGTTTCTGTTATGATGATTTACTGTCACTTGTTCTCTACAATGAACAACACGGTAAAATACAGTGAAAAGCTTCAACTGTTGCCACAATCTGGCGCGTTTTGAATACTTCAAGAATAAAAAGACAAGGTCAAAGAAGTCCACCTTAGCTGTGCCGCCTCCACCATGAGTCCTGAGCCCTAGGCCAGCTGACCAATGACACCTGTGCTGCCACCTGCTCCAGACCCAGCACTGTCGGAGTCACCGCTCTTCAGGTGCCATCTCTTCGTCACTGGGCCCACCTCGCCAATGGATTGCCGATGCTGGATCCTGTGCTGGACACTCGCCCCACAACCAGGAACCCCGGTTCCGCTGCCACCACCACCTCACACATAACCAGGAGTTTCCACTCTGGGGCCCACCATAACCAGGAACCCCCAGCGCCGCCACTAGACACCAGACTGCCGCCTCGGCAAGAATCCCACTCTGGCCGCTCCCCTCTGCAATGTCACCCCTGGACCAACAGGAACAGAATGAAGAAAAAGACAGGAGACAAAACAGTTAATGAAAGAAGGGACGAATTGGCTGCACAGGAGCCCAAATGCTGCCTACCTTGCTAGCACGAACATCTTGGTAAGGCTAGTTTTACCACAAAGGATCTGCTTTGGGATTTGATCATGAGACATTGAGTACAGGGGATCCTGAATATAAATTGGGATTATGTATGGCAAAAATGCAACTTGTATCAAGACAACGTTTATATTGTGGAATTTTTCCCCATGAGAATGAGTGGGAGTTGAAGGGGGAGGGGAGAAGATAGAACATAGAACATTACAGCGCAGTAGAGGCCCTTCGGCCCTCGATGTTGCGCCGATCTGTGAAACCAATCTGAAGCCCATCTAACCTAAACTATTCCATTATCATCCATATGTTTATCCAATGACCATTTAAATGCCCTTAAAGTTGGCGAGTCTACTACTCTTGCAGGGAGGGCATTCCGCGCCCTTACTACGCTCTGAGTAAAGAACCTACCTCTGACATCTGTCCTATATCTATCACCCCTCAATTTAAAGCTATGTCCCCTTGTGCTAGCCATCACCATCCGAGGAAAAAGGCTTCCACTGTCCACCCTATCTAATCCTCTGATCATCTTGTGTGTCTCTATTAAGTCACCTCTTAACCTTCTTCTCTCTAACGAAAACAGCCTCAAGACCCTCAGCCTTTCTTCATAAGACCTTCCCTCCATACCAGGCAACATCCTGGTAAATCTCCTCTGCACCCTTTCCAATGCTTCCACATCCTTCCTATAATGCGGTGACCAGAACTGTACGCAATACTCCAAGTGCGGCCGCACCAGAGTTTTGTACAGCTGACCTCATGGCTCCGAAACTCAATACCTCTACCAATAAAACCTAACACACCGTACGCCTTCTTAACAACGCTATCAACCTGGGTGGCAACTTTCAGTGATCTATGCACATGGACACCGAGATCTTTCTGCTCATCCACACTACCAAGAATCTTACCATTAGCCCAGTACTCTGTATTCCTGTTACTCCTTCCAAAGTGAATCACCTCACACTTTTCCGCATTAAACTCCATTTGCCACCTCTCAGCCCAGCTCTGCAGCTTATCTATGTCCCTCTGTAACCTGCAACATCCTTCCGCACTATCCACAACTCCACCGACTTTGGTGTCATCCGCAAATTTACTAACCCATCCTTCTACGCCCTCATCCAGGTCATTTATAAAAATGACAAACAGCAGTGGCCCCAAAACAGATCCTTGAGGTACACCACTAGTAACTGAACTCCAGGATGAACATTTCCCATCAACCACCACCCTCTGTCTTCTTACAGCTAGCCAATTTCTGATCCAAACCGCTAAATCACCCTCAATCCCATGCCTCCGTATTTTCTGCAATAGCCTACCATGGGGAACCTTATCAAACGCTTTACTGAAATCCAAATACACCACATCAACCGCTTTACCCTCATCCACCTGTTTGGTCACCTTCTCAAAGAACTCAATAAGGTTTGTGAGGCACGACCTACCCTTCACAAAACCGTGTTGACTATCCCTAATCAAATTATTCCTTTCTAGATGATTATAAATCCTATCTCTTATAATCCTTTCCAACACTTTACCCACAACCGAAGTAAGGCTCACTGGTCTGTAATTACCAGGGTTGTCTCTACTCCCCTTCTTGAACAAGGGGACAACATTTGCTAGTCTCCAGTCTTCTGGCACTATTCCTGTAGACAATGATGACATAAAGATCAAAGCCAAAGGCTCTGCAATCTCCTCTCTAGCTTCCCAGAGAATCCTAGGATAAATCCCATCTGGCCCAGGGGACTTATCTATTTTCACACCTTCCAGAATTGCTAACACCTCCTCCTTATGAACCTCAATCCCGTCT